GAGAGAGAGAGAGAGAGAGAGAGAGAGAGAGAGAGAGAGAGAGAGAGTTACACGTTGCAGGATTTTGAATAGTAAATCTCGCGGGGCACTTGTTCTACTGTTCCACAGAATAATAATTTCTTTGCGAAAAATTGTATGTATTTCACGAGATAAGGCACGGCTGCACCCGGGCCACCCTCGAGTGAGGGACGTGAGGGACGTGAGGGTGGCGAATGGCGACTGGGGCGAGCCTTCTACTATTCTACTCGAAAGAGAAAACGATCGAAAGATTGCTTCTACGTCTATCGAGTCCTACGTCGAGTAAGGTCAGATGGATAAGCGCGCAAATGACGTTTGCGTTTATTTGCGACAGATACAGAAGCGAGAATATAGACGCGAGAAAGAGAGAATAGGTACGCGCGCGAGACGTGTAAAATCGTTTATCGCGTGACAGAGCGACAACAGCGGCCAATCGACTTGTCGAAATTTATTGCACTCACTGAAGAAAGCTCATCGGAGTCGGCGTCTCGCATTGCCACCACTGCAAAGCACTGTTGCGATTATATGTATATCGCGTTACGCACCAACACCAGCACCGTCCGTTTCCACGTCCTCTTGGCCGATTTCTCGCTACACTCGTCACTGACGCGCGTGCCATGTCGTCGAGATCGAGCCCTCGCTGCCCTCGTCGAGCCTTCATCGCCGAATCGTTCTCGCCTCCGCCTTCGAAAAGAAGCTCGCTCTCGGGTTGCGTTTCCGGAGGCGGCGCGGCGAGAGCGTCAGGGCGAAAAAGCGGGACACCCCCGCGACCGCGACCGCGACGTCCGCGACTCGCGACTCTTGCGAGTCGCGCGCGACCGCCCTCCCCGACATGCCGCCAACACCAACCACCAACCACCCCCGACGCCCTACTTTCCTCTCCGTCCTCTCCGTCCTCTCCTCAGCGACCTCAGCTCAGCCTCGGCGCCCTCGGCGAGGCGAGAGGCGAGAGCGCACTTGCGCTCGCGCTCGCGCTTCTTCTCGGCCTCGGACCAGCACACGCATGTACGTAGTACATACGTACCCGGCCGCGCGCGACTCTCGACAAAACCGGAAGCGCGCGATACGGTACTCAGTACTTACCCTAGTCTGATGTCCTCCATTGCCGCAGCTATCGGCCAACACCGATCGATCCCCTTTTCCAGCTACTCCATTTCTCTATTCTCCCCTCGTGTGTGTCAGGCTCTCGCTCTCGCTCTCTCTCTCGGCCTGGGCCCACGGCGACCACGACTCGCTTTTTTATAGCGTGACACCCCCGCGCCTTGACGGCTCACATCTTGACCCGCGATCCGTGCCAACTGTGCTCCTTTAAGGAGACGCGCTCTCTGGCTGCTCTCTGACCTCTCTGTCCATGGCACGCACCACGAGTCCACGACCCACGACGACGACGTCGACGACTCGCGTGCTCGCGTGCTCGCGTCCTACTCAGTACGCAGTCCTACGTCCTACTCGTAGACTCGTACTCGTGCTCGAGCCTCGAGAGTCGAGCCGCTCGAGCGACAAGTCGCGCGTCGCGCGTCGCGCTGGTCGCGCACGCTCATCGCTCGTGCTTCGTGTTCCTTGCCCTTGCAGGGGTGTGCTTAGACTGCTTAGCTCACACTCTCACTCACAGTGACTACTGACTACAGTCGTCGACGTCGTCGTCGTCAACCGCAAGGGATGCCGGATATGATTCGGAAGAAAATGAAAATACGAATACGCGCAATACTCTACAGTCCACAGCTACACCCAGACACCCTAGACCTATCAAACTTTACACGTCGTTCATTTAGATTTAAATTTATTCTTATATAATATACATATGCATATTTCAAGACCGTCTGAAGAAGATGCTGACAATACCGGCCTAGGACCTAGGACTCGCTAGTCGCTAGTTCGGACATAAACCATAGCACGGACACGAACCATGTCATGTACGTTACCGAGCGAAAGGGACGTAGACACGTAGTTGCAATGATGTCCACTTTCTCAGGGGGCAGGCTGAAAATGTGACTTCCGCCTCCGCCAGCTTCAGAAAGATTAAAGAGATGGCGGCTGGTTAAGGTTAAGATAAGAAAGACGTAAACAGTACGCGGATCGCGGGTCGCGGGTCGCGGGCCAATGAACTGTCAGAGTGTCAGGTCAGAGACGTCAGAGTCAGTGTCGGTGGCGTGGCGGCGTGGCGTAGTGCTCGACGCTCGCCCGGGCTCGCCGTGCTCTCGTACTGTCGTACGTCGTACTGCGCTGTAGGCTGTAGCTGTAGTGCGCGTGGTGCATACACGTGTGTGTGTATATATGTGTATAACTGCACGGACAACGTCCACTGCGACTGCGATCTCAACGATCGAGAATCGCCGGTGATGGTGATAGCCGGGTGTATGCCGTATATGTATGGTTGAGGTTGAGCGCGCGTGTAAACGTTTCTCGTTCACCTGCGCTGTCACGCTGCTAAAGCTAAACTCGAACGATTCACGCGACGCTCCGGCTCCTCGTCGGCGTCGCTCGTCCCGGTACTCCCGACTCCCGGCTCCCGGGCCGTGGCAGTGGCAACTGCTGGCAACCGCGGCAACGTCCGAGGGCGAGGAGCACAAGAGTTTTGCCCACGCACGCAACATTGTAATATCGTATGCCTGCCTTTTGTAATACACGCTAATAGAGATACCTAATCGAGATACCCACCGGCAGCCGAGATGCAGTGGCCCTCGCTCAGCGTTATTCTTTCCGAGATATTTCTGGCGTATATCGTCTACTCGATATACACGCTGTCGCTGCTGTTCGTGTCGCCGGCCTGCGAGGATGGCAAGCCGTGTCTCGAGTCGTACCTGAGCGAACGGCCGCAGTTGGATCTATACATGTACAGCTCCATCAGGAGAAATCCCGCCAGCAGAGACGTCGACCTCGTATACTCGGGGCAAAACTTCGCGTACGATCAAACGCAAACCATGTGAGCATTTCCGCGTCATTTAGTCGGGCTGTCATAGTCTCCCTTTGAGCATCCATCCCTCGATCAACGGTTGACCTTCTTGGGCAGCTTGGGCCTGTCGCTCTCGCCAGTCTCTCGCCTGTCTCGCCTTCCTTTCCTCTTGTCCTCTCTGCTCTCTGACAAGCTCTGAAGGAGTAGGATGCCAGAGGGAGAAAGAGAGAGAGAGAGAATCGAAATGGTCTGACAATGAGCGAGAGACCGCCCGCGCCGCCGCCGCTCATGTGAATTAACCAACTTTTTTTTCTTGCAGTCCAGTGACTCTGACCGTACCAGGCGACACACGGCGAAATGGAACATTGTTCTTACATATATTATTAACGCCTCCCTCCGTAAAACGGAGCAGGACGTTTGTTGATTTGCAAAAAGTAATGTGATACGTAATGTTATGAAATATATATATACATATATATGCTCTACATTACGTACGTCCATCTTTACAGGATATATTTACCTCGTATACCGCTATTAAAATGACACAATACGTAGTACCTGAGGCAGAAGCGTTCAAGTTGTTAGGCGACAAGAGCCATGGCCATGGTACGAAAAAAGTTACGAGCCAGATTATCGTACGTCCAGTCTCACACGTGAAAAGTCGCGTGACTTTTACAATAATGACGGACAACGTTATGCTTCCTATATACGGCATGCCTGCCGAGCTCGTCAATCACATCAAGTACATAAATTTTAATATATCTTGACCGCGCGTACGCATAACGCGCGCAAGTGTTAAAGACCGACGTCATCACCTTGCTTGTTTGTTGCAGAATAATTGGCAAACGGACATTCTTGCCGATTGTAACGTGCGACTTTTTACAAACGCGACATCGGGACCTTAAGCGAATTACCCCGCAAAATTATACGACGAACGTCGCGGTAGAATATTCGCCTGTGTCGCTAGGAAAATTAAGATTGGTGCTGCACGTGCAGGCGACCATGGAGAATCTGAGGAATCTCGGCTTCTCCGACAAAGACATCGATGAAGTAAAGGGCATCTTTGCTGACACCAACGTCTACTTATTGGGCGGTACATTCTTCATCGCGGCTGTACACGTGAGTAGGACAAGTACGGCGTGTTACGTGCGTCGCGAAAACCGCAAAAGAAATGAGAGAGGGGAAAGAAAAGAAAGAGAAAGGACAGCGCCAATCTTCCGTGTTACAGTTGTTGTTTGATTTTCTTGCTATTAAAAATGATGTCAGTTTTTGGCGGAAGAAGAGTAATCTCATAGGCCTCAGCAAATGGACCGTGATATGGCGTGCGTTCAGTCAGACGGTCATTTTCCTTTATCTTTGCGACGAAGGTTCTTCCTTGCTCGTTCTCATTCCGACCGGTATCAGCACTGTTATCGAGGTGCGTATACATGTTACGGTACATATATGGCGTTATCAGGTTATCACCGATCGTGTAATGCGTAACGTTTTTTTTTTTTTTTTTAGCTGTGGAAATTAAAAAAGATGTCGAGAGTGGACGTGATTAGCAGCGGTAGCATTTTGCCGAGAATACGATTTAAAACTGACTGCATTGACGCAGCCGAGGTGAAAACTAGAGAGTTTGATGCTGAGAGTATGCGTTATCTAAGTTACTTGTTATATCCGTTAGTTATCATTGGTGCAATCTACTCGTTACTTTATCAGCCGCACAAAAGGTAAACAACCACTTTTCTCTAAAACGAAAAATATATACGTACGAAATAATCATTTATATCTTGGAGATAGAAATAAATCGTGAATTAAATTGTTTTGAGTTACAGCTGGTATTCATGGAGCATAAATTCCTTAGTGAATGGAGTTTACGCATTTGGATTCCTCTTTATGCTGCCGCAGTTGTTCGTTAATTATAAATTGAAATCCGTGGCGCATCTGCCATGGAGGGCGTTCATGTACAAGGCATTTAACACTTTCATCGACGACGTGTTTGCTTTCATTATAACGATGCCGACAGCGCACAGAATAGCGTGTTTCAGAGATGACGCCGTTTTTCTGATTTATCTGTATCAAAGATGGTAAGAGAATTTATTCGTTCAACGTGAAATTCATGCCGAGTGCCGCTGAACGTTCGCGATTTACGTTAAACGATGGAGATTTCTACCTGAAGGCAAGCACAATTCAAAAAAATGTGTTTTTTCTGTCCTCTCGGGTTTTCATTATTTTTACCTGACCATTGTGATCTGAAGCGAACGTCGTCAGCTACGTCATCAATTCTTTTCTTGGAAGGACCTAAACCTAAACCTATCTCCATCGTTCGAAAATTTGTCATTCCTCATTGCTACTTGCTACTTGCTACTTGTTCAGTGGTATTCGCCGTGAGCGGCACGTCGCGTTACGGCCTTTCGTATGTATCGATCAATATTTTAGAACGTAAAAAAAAAGTTTGTCAACACTGTCCACAGGTTATACCCGGTGGATAAATCACGTGTGGATACTGATACGATTACAGAAGAAGCTGTCAATTTCGGCAACAATACGAACAAAAAAACAAATTAACCATTCCTATTGTTTACTGTTTACTGTGTATTGTTATTGTTTGTCTTCGTTACCTAGAACTTGAAACTTTCGTAATATCATGTTGAAACGTTATTACGTGCTGGCAAACAGTATTTATATCGCTAATGTGAAAATTTAACTAATATACGCATACAATTGTTACGAAAAATATATCTTATTTTCTTTTTATCACCTAGAGAGTACCATTGTAATTTTTTATTTTTTTTTAACGATCCGACAACGGATCTTGCAATTCACGTATAATCGCGATGCGATAATATTATCTATAATGTTCTCGGCGTGACGCGTTCAATGATCAGAGTGTGACAAAGGACTTATAGAAGGAAATTATATAACATGCAACGTCGAACACGGCAGGAAAAAATCAAATAACGGCACATTCCTTGTTCGGATGCTCATTTAGCAGGTGTTATATGTCATCAGGCTACTTCTAGGTATGATTATATTTGATACGTGCGTAAGAAAATACTTTTACTGGGTTGCCCGATAACGAGGGACCGTGAATCATTTAAATCGAATCTAACGCGATAACACGTCAGTGTTTCGATATCCACTGATCTAATAGGAGAGAAACAGTCCGAGAAGTCTTCTCTCTAAATGTGTACGCGCACGTGTGTGTGTGCGTGTGCGCGCGCGCGTGCGTGAGCGTGTGTGTGTGTGTGTGTGTGTGTGTGTATGTATATATATATATATATATATAATTCTTTAAATTTACAGCTTAAACGGAAATTCATATTACAAACTGTAATACTTGTGTGCCACGTTATATATACAAGACTAATGGCGTACATTATGTGCGTCATACAAATTATAATTCTGATCATTCTTTCTATATGGATTTATCTCTGGTTCATGGGTTTAGGTAAGACGGTCGAGGCAAATAAGTTATATAACTCCATCTTTTTTTCTTTTGTATCAGAATAATGTATGCGTGCTGATGAAAGCTATGGCTCGCTCTATTAGTTTTGAGATAATGTAGTAATAATCGATTTAATGAAAGCATGCGTTTGCATTATTGCGTTTTAAATTAACTTTAAATTAACATGTTTCTGTAGATATACAGTTTTTTCTAAAGCGATGGTGGGCTCTTTTGTGCATCTCGAAGGAACAGAAAACAGAGAAATGTATACTCAAAGACAACGACGTGATATCCAATATAAAAAAGTTCTTGAAACCATGCTCGGATA